TTTTTTTTTTTTTTTTTTTTTGGTACCAGGGATTGAACTCGGGTCCTTACACTTGCAAGGCAGGCCACTGAACCACTGAGCTAAATCCCCGGCCCTAAGGACAGAAGTTTTGAAAAAATTAAAATATGAGAAAAATAGAGTTGTTGGAAGCAAACAAACAAAAAAATGATGGTCACATTTAGGGATTAATGATCATAGGAACTGTAAACTGAAGAAAGCAAACAGTAGGCTAGAACTCAGAAAAAATTGGTAAAAGGATGAATATTTTAAGAAGATAGCAGACCCTGAGGATAAACCCAAGAAACCAATGGCCCATGAACAAAGATGGGAAAGGCAGTAAGACACAGATTTTGGGGTTTTGTTTGAGACAGGTCTTCCTATATATGTAGCTCAGGATGGCCTTGAACTAACTGTGTAGCCCAGGTTGACCTGAAACTCATGGCAATCCTCCTGCCTCAGCCTCCTGAATGCTGGGATGTGCTGAGTGCCACCACACCTAGCAAGACATAAAATTTTTTTAAAAATTTCTTCTAAGGGCCGGGGATTTAGCTTAGCGGTTCAGTGGCTTGCCTGGCAAGCGCAAAGACCTGAGTTCAATTCCCAGTACCAAAACGAAAAAACAACAACAAAAAAAACAAAAAATAAAAAAATTTCTTCTTGTGGAAAATGAAAATGCATGAACCCTTCAATACAACCCTTCTAAGACTTCATACAGATATGGGCATAAAGACTGATATAAGAATGCTCAGTGAAACATTTGCAGAAAAAAAAAAGATTGGAAATAATTATCTTTTGGTAGTACATTAGTTATGGTTGTGGCAGTCAGGGTAGAGCATTGATTTAATTGACTTGGAGATCACCCAAGATTGGAAGAAGATACCTCTCGCTGGGTCTCAGTGGGTCATGGAGGTGTGGCCTTGAGCCCTATGTCTGGTCTCTTGACTTTCCCTGACCCCATTCTCCTGTTCTACCTCCTGGCTACCACAAACTAAGCATCTTTCCTCTGCAACACCCTTCAGCCATGATGTTCCTATACTGGAGCCAGCCAACCATGGACAGCATCTCTTGAAACCATGAGCCAAATTAAACCTTTCCTCCTTTAAATTGTGGGTGCTGAGTATGTATCCAGTCATAAGAAAGCTAATACAGAAAACTGGTACCAGAGAAGTGGGGTCATTGCTGTTACTATACCTAATGGTGTATTTTAGAACCCATTAGAACTGGCTATGGGAGGAGATTGGAAAGGTTTGGAGATGCAGGATAGAGAAGCCCATACTTCTGTAAACAGAGGCTGACGAGAGATTCTGGTTGGAGCTCAGAAGACCAGAATGCTGATAGGAATGCAGACAGTAAAAGCCAGGCTCGAGAGGTTTCAGTTGGGAATGAGGACTCCATTGGCAGTTAGAATAGAGGTCATGTGTGTTATGCTCTGGCAGAAAATTTTACCTATGTTCTGAGCCTTTGCAAGAGATTCAGATAAAGGTCAATGAATTATTTAATCTGACAGAAACTTTCAAGACAGCCCAACATTCAGGTTGTGGCATGGGTATTGCTGACTTCTACCTAGATTTAGACTTGGGGACAAAAGCAGAGCAAAAAATTTTCAAAAGCATAAAGTTTGGTCCAGAAGGAACTATGTGTAAAGTTGGGGCAAAGGAGGTGTGGCTACAAGAGATTAGCACCATTAAAAAGAAATTAAATATTGTACTTTACAAAGGGACAAAAAGAAAAATGCTCCAGGGTGTGGTGGTGCACACCTGTAATCCCAGCACTCGGAAGGTTAAGGCAGGAGGAGTGCTGTGAGTTCAAAACCAGCCTGGGCTACATAGTGAGTTTCAGGTCAGTCTCAACTACAGAGTGAGACCCTGTCTCAAAAAACCAAAAAAAAAAAAAAAAAAAAAAATTTTTTAAAAAAAAAAAAAAAAAAAAAACCAAAACAACAAAACACACACACACACCCCAAAACACCACAAAAATGAAAAAAACCCCAACAAAACAAAAACCACAAAAACAAAAAGAAAAATGCCTTGAGGGCATCTTGCAAATCAGTGAGACACAACCTAAGGCAAGCTCAAAAGTGTAAACCATTCATTTGAGAAGAGAGTCCCTAGCACTCCTGCTCCTGAAAGACTGCCTAGAGAATTGGTTACTCAGACTTCCTCTTGCCACACTCAACCATACAGGCACTGAAAGGCTGCAGCCCTGGTCCAAAGTGGCCTAGCTATAGTTCTCAATGACAGCAGACCTTGGGGACACTACATAATGTTGGTTTTATCAGCATGCAAAATGCCAAGAGTTATTGGGTCAAGGAAGCTTCCATCCAGACTTCAAAGGAAGGCCTGAGAGGCTATGCAAGGAGGCTTTGAGAGAGCAGTGAGTGAAGCCATGGGAATGAAGCCAAAAGGGCAGTGAAGATCCCCTGAAGTTGGAAAAGCTTGGAAAAGATGCAGCCCAAGAAAAAGGCTGTATAAACTGCAACCAGCAACGCCACAGGGTGGGGCTGGCCATGCCCTTTGGATCTCTCAGTTCATCATTGTGTGATTGAGATACCAAACATGAAGCTATGTGTCTTAATGGCTTGCCCTACTAGATTTTGGTCTTGCTTTGATTCAATTCTTTTCTATCCTTGTACTCTTTCCTTTTGGATTAGGAATATTATACTATTATACTTTAGAATGATAGAACTTGCTTTTGAGTATTACAGGGGTTCACAGCTGAGTTTTCTTTGAGTCTCAGAGGAGAGTGACGTGGCCTTCTGAGCAATGGTGGAACTGTTGAGGCCTTGGGGGAAGGAATTACTGCATTTTTAGTTACACAGAATAGTTGTGCCATGTTAGGTAGAATTATGAACTTGCGCTTGGCTTTATTTGTAGATTAAGTATGGCTCAAGAAGACATCTTGGGGCATGAAGTTGAAGACAGACAGGATGTCTGGTTAGGGTGGAGTGTTGACTTGACTTGGGGATCGATTCAGGTGACTGGTGGAGCACACCGGTGTCTGGAGGGGTCATGGAAGTGTGACCTTAGGGTCTATGTCTGATCCCGTTCCTCTTCCTCTCTGGCATTGCTCCCATCCTGCTTCCTGACCGCCATGAACTAAGCATTTCTGCTTCACCACACCCTTCCTCCATGATGTTTCTGTCATGGAGCCAGATGACTGAACCCTCTGAAACTGTGAGCCAAATTAAACCTCTCTTGTTTTAAGGTGCAGGTGTCAGGCATTGCAACTGTCCACTAATGGAAAGCCACTAATGCACTGGTATATTTATAATCAATTCTATACCCATTAAAAGAATGAGGCAACACTATAATTCTTATATGTTTACTTCCAAGACAGT